GAGAGATTTCTCCTGAGATTCATTCAATCAATTCAATTAACAGATATTTATTAAGTATCTGCTGTGTACTAGGCACCATGCTGGGTATCATGATGGATGCAAGAATGTACAAGACACTATCTTTGACCTAAAAGAGCTTGCAATCTAATAAGGGAGATGGGGTATATACAGAAGAGGAGTCTGGTTCAAATGCTTCATTCAGTAGCTGCGTGACCATGAGCAATACTTTTCACTAATCCTTATATGTAAAATTGAAATGGGGCACCTAGGTGTCCAAGCAGATAAAGTGTCAGGCCTGGAATCAGGAACACTCAGCTTCCTGAGTTACATTGTACAGGAGTGGGAAAGGCAATGATATGAAAGAGGGAGGTGATAAAGGCAAAGGGGAGGTTCAGACAAAGTACTCCAAGAATATTTGAAAAGAAAGAACACTTTCTACTTGAGGGATGAGGGAAAGTTTCACAGAGTACGTGGCAGTAAAGATTTGCCTTGAAGGACAATATAATCAAAAAAAAATCCTACCTGTGTTGTCTGGAAGAGTATGCAGAAAGTGAAGAAAGACTTTAGCTGGTGGAAAGAGCTTTGAATTCAGATCAGAGCAGCCACTTACTTTAGACACTTACCAACTGTGTGTCCCTGGGCAAGTCACTTAATCCTGCTTGCCTGAGTTTCCTCATCTGTAAAATAAGCTGGAAAGGGGGGGGGGGGGTGGAGCCAAGATGATGGCATGAAAGCAGTGACTTGCTTGAGCTCTCCCCCAAACCCCTCCAAATACCCATAAAAAATGGCTCTAAACAAATTCTAAAGCAGCAGAACCCACAAAAAGACAGAGTAAAACAAATTTCCAGCACAAGACAGCTTGGATGGTTAATTGGAAAGACATATCGCACAGGGGAGAGGAGCACAGTTTGGCATGGGCGCGCAGGCCACAGTGAACCTGGAGCAGGCCTCAGAGGAATGAATCACAGGCAGCTGTGGTGGTTTCCAGACTCCTCAAACCACAAACACCAAAGACAACTTAGGAGGTCAGTGGGAAAAGTCTGTTTCTGCAGTGGTGAGAGAGGAGCTAGGTCAGAGCCAGCTCCAGAGCGCAGAGGGCAGAGCACAGAGCACTGGTGCCAGGGAGATGGCTGTGTTATGAGCTTCTGGCCCACAGACTGAGGGGGAATCAAGTGGCTGATCAGGAGGGGACTGCAGGGATCTCTTTGCTGGTGCTGAGGCAGGAATCTCTTGCTTTGCCCAGGCTTGGATCTGGGTCACGGTTCTGGGTGGCAGTCCTGGGGTGAGGAGGAGCTATGGCATGGTGGAGCTTGTAGTGGCGGTGCAGAGAAAACCCTCCTCACAAATTCCAAGAGACAAAAGACTGCTTGTGGCCAGTCACTCAAAGACCAGAGCACAGGCCAGGAAAAGAGTAAACACCTCGACCCTTATCATACCACCTTGGAAGAACTGAAAATTTACAGGTCCATACAAGTATCTCTGAAAACAGCTGTAGAAACCCCCAAGCTTGGGACAGTAAATTCTCCACATTGGAAGCAGACTCTTACCTTAACAGTTTAAAACTCATGTAGTTGGCTGGGATCATGAGCAAACCTCGCAAAAAGAGTCAGACTATATTATATTACTTTGGTGACAAAGAAGATCAAAACATACAACCAGAAGAAGACAACAAAGTCAAAGCTCCCACATCCAAAGCCTCCAAGAAAAATATGAATCCGTCCCAGGCCTTGGAAGAGCTCAAAAGGGATTTTGAGAAGCAAGTAAGAGAAGTAGAGGAAAAACTGGGAAGAGAAACGAAAGTGATGCAAAAAAATCATGAAAAACAAGTCAACAGCTTGCTAAAGGAGACACAAAAAAATACTGAAGAAAATAACACCTTAAAAAATAGCCTAACCCAAATGGGAAAAGAGGCCCAAAAAGCCAATGAGGAGAAGAATGCCCTAAAAAGCAAAATTGGCCAAATGGAAAAGGAAGTCCAAAAGATTACTGAAGAAAATACTTCCTTAAAAATTAGAATAGAGCAATTGGAAGATAGTGACTTTATGAGAAATCAAGACACAGTAGAACAAATCCAAAAGAATGAAAAATTAGAAAACAATGTGAAATATCTCATTGGAAAAACAACTGACCTGGAAAATAGATCCAGGAGAGAGAATTTAAAAATTATTGGACTATCTGAAAGCCATGATCAAAAAAAGAGCCTAGACATCATCTTTCAAGAAATTATCAAGGAAAACTGCCCTGATATTTTAGAACCAGAGGGCAAAATAGAAATTGAAAAAATCCATCGATTTCCCCCTGAAAGAGATCCCCAAAGAAAACTCCTAGGAATATTGTAGCCAAATTCCAGAGTTCCCAGGTCAAGGAAAAATATTACAAGCTGCCAGAAGAAACAATTCAAGTATGTGGAAACACAATCAGGATAACACAAGATTTAGCAGCTTCTACATTACGGGACCGGAGGGCATGGAATATAATATTCTGGAGGGCAAAGGAGATAGGATTACAACCAAGAATCACCTACCCAGCAAAACTGAGTATAATCCTTCAGGGGAAAAAATGGTCATTCAGTGAAATAAAGGACTTTCAAGCATTCTTGATGAAAAGACCAGAGCTGAATAGAATATTTGACTTTCAAATACAAGACTCAAGTGGAACATGAAGAGGTAAACAGGAAAGAGAAATCATAAGAGACTTATTAAGGCTGAACTGTTTACATTCCTGCATGGAAAGATGATATTTATAACTCATGAGACCTTTGTCAGTATTAGGGTAGTGGGAGGGGAAAAAATTATATAGATAGATAGATGATAGATAGATAGATAGATAGATAGATAGATAGATAGATAGATAGATAGATAGATAGATAGATAGATGAGGGCACAGGGTGAGTTGAAGATGAAGGGGTCATATCTGGAGAATAAAATTAAGGGGTTAGAGAGGATTATACTAGGAGAAGGAGAAAGGGAGAGGTAGAATGGGGTAAATTATCTCGCACAAAACAGACAAGAAAAGGTTCTTACAGTGGACGGGAAACAGGGGAAGGTGAGAGGAAATGAGGGAATCTTATTCTCATAGGATTTGGCTTAAGGAGGGAATAACACACACACTCAATTGGGTATGGAAATCTGTCTTACCCTACAGGAAAATAGGGGAGGAAGGGGACAAGAGAGCAGGGGGATGATAGAGAGAAGGGCAGATTGGGAAAGGGGTAATCAGAAGGAAGTACTTCTGAGGAGGGACAGGGTCAAAAGAAAGAATAGAATAGATGGGGGGCAGGATAGGATTAGGGGAAATAGAGTTCGTTTTTCACAACATGTCTACTATGGAAGTGTTTTGCATAACTGCACAAGTATGGCCTGTGTTGAGTTGCTTGCCTTTTCAATGAGAGTGGGTGGGGTGGGAGGAAGGGAGAAAATTTGGAACCTGGAGTTTTAGAAACAAATGTTTAAAAAATGTTTCCACATGCAGCTGGGAAATAAGAAATACAGGAAATGAGGTACAGAAATCTATCCTGCCCTTCAGGAAAGTGGAAGGGGAAGGGGGGGGGAGATAGAAGGGAGGGCTGACTCGGGGAAGGGGTATTCAGAATGCATGCCATCTTAGGATGGGGGAGGGCAAGATGGGGTGAAAATTTGGAATTCAAAATCTTGTGCAAGTAAATGTTGAAAACTAAAAATAAATAAATTTTTACAGAAAAAAAAATGCTTTTGGGGGGAAAAAAATAAAATAAAATAAGCTGTAAAAGGAAATGGCAAATCATTCCAGTACCTTTGCCAAGATAACCCCAAATGAGATCACAAAGAGTCAGACATGACTGAAAATTGACCGAACAACAAAAATTAAAATAATATGTTACTTAAATCCAATGGCTAAGTGCTCAGCCTGGAGTCAGAAAGACCTAAGTTCAAAGCCAGCCTCAGACACTTAGTAGCTGTATGACCCTGGGCAAGTCACTTAACCCTGTTTGCCTCATACTTACCTTACAAAGTTCTTGTGAGGAACAAAGGAGATATTAGGGAAAAAAAACTTAGCACAATCCCAGGCACATAGTAGGAACTATATAAATGCTTGTTCTACCTCCACCCCACCTCACAGGGAAGCACTTTATACATCCAAAAGCTTTATAGAAATACTAGTTATTACCATTTTACAGGAATAACTCCAGTGAAAGATGCTGAGTGGTATATAAACTACCATAAGGAATTCAGAGATGGGGAGGCTCACTCTAGATAATTCTGCTGTTGTTCAGTTGTTTCAGTCTTGTTCAGACTGTCTGTGACCCCATTTGGGGTTTTCTTGGCAAAGATACTGTAGTGGTTTGCCATTCCCTTCTCCAGCTCATTCTACAGATGAGGAAATTGTCACTTGCCCAAGGTCACACAGCTAGTAAGTGTCAGAGGTCACATTTGAACTCGGGAAGACGAGTCTTCCAAACTCCAGGCCAAGGGCTCTGTGCACCTTGGCGCCACCTAGTGCCCAGTTTAGATAATCAAGGGAAGCTTTATAGAAGTGGCAATTCAGCTTGGCCTTGAAGAATATGTAGGATTTCAACGGCAGAGACCATGGGATAATAGATTTTTAAGTTGGAAGGGAATATAAAAGCTGTCTAGTTCAATACTTTCATTTTACAGATTAGGAAATCATCTCAGAGAGAGTTAAGATCTGCCCAGTGTCACACAGAGGACAGAGCCAGAATTGAAACCCAGGTCCCCTCACTCCAGGTTCAATGTCCTTTCCCCTACCACATGATAAGGCAGCATGAAAACACAGATAATATATTCAATCTACTGAAATATATGCATTGAAAAGCAAAATCACACAAAATGTTTATTTATGTGTACATAATAAATAAATGATAAAGAAAATACAGGAAAAGGAAACATTCAGAAATTCCAAATAACTAAAGTGCTTTTAAACATAAATATAAAAAGACCAAGAATAGATCTGATCTTATAATAACTGCTTTACAGATATTGAAGAATTTTAAAATATTTCCTATGCCATTTCACAAAATATTCTACTTTCAGGAGAAAAGGGAGATGGAGAATATGGCTGTATTTATACAACTTGGAATTGTCTAAATTCTGTTATGTCAAATCCCATTCAAAAGTTTACAAAATTATTGCATATCAGCCAGGAAATAAAAATGTGGTCCAAAGCCACATTCATAGTGAAATGAGGAGAATATCCTGTAGTCTATAAGGCTATGTTGATTTTGTCTCCGTTTAAAGACCTATACTCCTTTAAAGATTCAGAATGGCTATTTTGGACCAAATCTCCTGGCATACAATGTGTTCGACTGAGTTAAGTGCCCGCTATCAATAAGATGCCTGAGAAACTCTATACCATTTCCTGTTACCAGTTCTCTGAAGATCAAGCAAAATCTTCCTCCATTTTAATCAACTCAAGTGCTTTTACTGAATGAACTCTTTCTATTCTAAAAGTAATTGGAAGTTTTTCTAAATTACTAATTTGTCCTTAGCAGCTTTGAAGCTTAGAAAGAAAGTTTTATTGACCTATCTGATCCTGACTCCATAAATAGAAACAAGTCAATATACTTCATCTTGGGTGATTTTTAACATGTGAAAAATTCTAATGCTAGATATGTAATGTCCACAAGTGCCTTGGGAAGGCCCACTGGAAGTTATTTTCCTTCTGAGACGCCCTCATTCCTCATTCCCATTGTTCATTGCCTTTCTTGTTAGTGCGATGGTCTTTACTAACATGATCCCAGGATCCAAGGCCTTCAGTGTGCTTTCTTTTTCTCCTGCTTTGCTGTCCTGGAGAGATCAATAGCAATGTCTTCTGAGCTGTCCATGAGGTTGACTTTTTCAGAGCTCAGCTGGGGCTCTCCGCACTTTGATTTCATATCTTCCTCTGGGTGTTCATAACTCCAGTTTTCTGATAACTTTTCTTCACCTCCTGATTTCCTTGTCACATCCATGGATTTTTTGTGCATCCCTTAGAAAAAGAGTAGAGTCTTACAGCTAGAAGGAAACTTAGAAATTTTCCAGTCTAAACAGATCGTTTTAGAGGAAGAAACTGGGGCCCAAATATTTTTAAAAGTCATCAGTGTTATCATTTACATCAACATCTTCATAAAATGAACTAAAATGATCCTACTCAATAAGGTAGGGACAGGCCTTATCAGGGCTGGCTTAGAAGTAGATGATCACCCATCCAGCATAATTTAAGGGGCTTTAGGATGGCTTTTCTGACCCTAAAAACTACTTACTTCAAAATCTGAAATTCTACCACTAGAGATTCATTCCCATGTACTCTTTAATTTCCCAGTTTCTTGATTCAACACCTTTATTTAATTTCCCTGTCCCCAGGCCTTTCATCTTTGGTAAGATGTTAGCTGAAAAATGTTTGATAAAGCAAAAAAGGTTAGCCTTCCCAGGGGGTCCTTTGCATTTCAATGAGGGATTTCTAAGGTTCAAAAAACTATGAAAATTCAGAATCATGAGATATTTAAAGACTGAAACAAATCTGAGAGATCATATAATCCAACCCCCTCTTTTTTTTTTAGATGAAGAAACCTAGATCAGAAAGGTGACTTTTTCTAAAGTCACAAAGGTAGATGGCTGTTGATACGGGGCTAGACAGTGAGCCTCCTGACCATATAATAGGCTATTTTAAGTCATTCATAAAACATATTAATTTATAATTTTATTTGAGTTTTATATACTTATTAAATTTCCTATTACATAGATGTATTTTACCAAACATACATAATGAGAAAATCTGGATTTTCCCAAAAGAGATGATTATTCACTTTATACAAAGTGCTTTACCACAGAACTCCTTTAAATAGTAAGCTTCTTTAGTGCACTTAAAATGATAAGGTTTTATAAATTCAATTTACCTACATCTGTCATATAAAGTACATAGCTCTTTTAAGTCTGAAAAAATAAATTATTAAGTTTACCACACAAATTAACATCAAGAATGTGTCTATATAATTAAAGAAATTAAAATGATTCAAGGCCAAGAAATCCTTACAATTAAACAATTTTAAATGCAGAAGAGCCATATTGCATTACCTTAGGTAAATTACTCTACTTCTTTGGGCTGTTTCTTTATCTATAAAATGAGTGGGTTGGACTAAGTATTCTCTAAACTGGCTTCTTTTTTTAAGCTAGGTCTTTTCCAGGTGCCAGTTTGTCAGAGGCAACACCCATTCAATAATTAAAGGCTAGGTAAGAATGGAGGCCAAAGATGGCCTCATTTACCTTCACAAAAGAATCAGTCTGGGAAAGAAGACCCTCAGCTGGACTCTAATGACTCCGGAGGAGAGAATGAGGCTGATGACTTTGCATAGCCCTGCCTCACTCAAATCCAGTTCACTTGCAAGTCAAGACATCACCCTCCTGATGTCATTGGTCCTCTTTGAGAAGGACAAACAACAACAATGACAAAAATGACTCCTAGTTCTAAAATTTTAGGATTATTTCACAAGATACTTTGATTAAATTCAGTGGATTGTTCCTTAACGCTTCACTATCAATCCAGCTATCATGTTATAAATGCATACAATTTGCAGGGCAATTGTTAAACATACACATTATTTTTCTTTTATAAATCCTACCTAACATTCTTTTAGCAATATCAGCTATTCAATATGTACCAAATTCTTTCTTACCGAGTAACCATGGAGCACAGGAGCCCACCAACCCACTCTTGGCAGAGTTGATGATTGATTCAGGGAGTGGTATGGAATGTCTCACCATGGCACCATAGAGACCATACTCTGCCATGACACTGCTCCTGCCCCAACATTTTTCTCTCTTCCTCCACTTGGCTCTTCTATTTTGAAACCAAACCTAGTTTGGTATTAGAAAGGAACAAATAAAGAATTCCAGGAAGGAGACAAAGGAGGGGAAAAACACATGAAGATGAATGAAAAGCTATTTTATCTGGAGATGGAGTGCTTCTTGAAATGAAGTAAAATAACCCCAGCTTACTTAAAGTGGATTAAATAACTAAGGAATTTTTCAGAACAGATATCCAAAATAACAATTCTGTCGGAGAAGTAATTGCCAATTAAAGTGGTGGACAGTTTCACTGGAATTTGTGTATATCCTCAGCAAAAAAAAAAAGGGGGGGTTGGAAAAGGGTTGATAATATAAAATATATTTTTCCAATATGTTAACATTTTTAAAGAATAATTCATGATTTTCCAGTTTTATTTAACTTTGGTTTTGTTGTTCTTATTGGTTTGGAAGACTTTCTTGGGAAAAGGAACATAAAAATCTCACATATAATTTGACTGCTGCTAATGCTGCACATTGAAAATTTTTCTTCTTTTTTTTTTAAAAATCTAATTGAGGATTCCAAAGGAGCATCTCACTGGTCTGGGCATTCTGTCAATCAGATAAAGGCACCCTTAACTGGGTTCAAACTTGAAGAACTACAATAGTAAAGACTCCAGGATGTCATTTATAAAGGAAAAAGAGATCAGTATCTGACATTAAACTATACCTGTGTGGTTGTATCTATCTTTAGAACATATTAAAAAGTGGAAATGAGTTATATTTGTGTGGGTATTTAAGGACACATCTCTGTATTTTAATCTGAGAAAGGGGAACATAAACTCAAATACCTGTATTCTATCTTCTGGAAGCTCAGTTTTTAGAGCTAACATTTCCCTGGCATACACATCTGGATAATGTGCCTCATTGAAAGCCTTTTCCAATTCTTCCAGTTGGTGAGCAGTGAAAACTGTCCTGCAGGAAACATGCATATGGGAATGTAGGTGTGGGAGAAAACTTAGCTTTTCTACCTATGTAGTGTTCTTTCCTCCTTCACCCCTTCCATATTCCCCTCCATTAAAAAGCAAGTAAATCATCTACCAGTCCTTCTCTACTCCCACTGAAGTCTTTTCTTGCACTAGACAAGATTTCTTGAAAATTCTAGAGATTTAATTCTTAGGTTCTCTTCAATGAGTTTCATTCTATTATTCCAGAGATCTTGAGTAAGATAATGGAGAAAAAAGAACCATCCCCTCAAAACTTGGTCTCAAAATACTGTAAAAAGATTGTCCATGTCTTCTGAAGTAGATCATTATCATTCCTATCATCCTCCCAAGAACTGTTTTGATTCTTTTCAAAATAATGTCTTTGTCTTCTCCACTGTAAACTGTTGAAATATTTACTCCCATCCCAGGCCCTGGCTATGTCTATGAGGAATTACAATAGTGAGAACTCCAAAACGCCATTTATAAAGGAAAGAGAACATTAAACAATACCTATGCCGCCGCTTTTTCCTCTTAATATGTGATGTGGGTGTCTTCAGTTCATTTTTGTCTTCAGACAGACTGTCTTCATCTATTAACATTTGGAGAAAATAAAAATATATGCTTTAAATTTGAAATTATTGTTCAGATTGTTCTGTATACATTTTGATTGTGTATATTGAGGTTATTAGCTAGGCAAAAGAACTGGGCAACTGTAATACATCACTTACATGCAACTATCCACATGCTTATATAGCTTTATGTAGTATAGAGACATAGAGATCTATTTCTAGATATCTCAAAGGAGGCCCCAGTTTCCAGGTATTCCTCCCAAAGAAAGTAGAGTCTTGGGCTAATTTGGTTGTCCTGGATAATTCTAAAGCAAAGAAAATTGAGCCTGTTCTATCAGAAACCATAACTAGGGTTGGTCCTGACTGAGCTCAGGGCAAGAATATGGAGGGAATCATTTCCTCCTGAAACCTCAGTTCCCCACACCTCACACCTGGTATTGATCCACCAACCAGTAATGAATGGCAGCACCCTGATCCATTTAGTGGCCCCACCCCCAGAGTCCCCATCAGTGGCTCTGCTCTTCTTGCCCTTGACTTTCTCTTTCCAGCTCTCATCTGTGTGCAAGTATGTCTCTCTGGGTATGGATTGCCCACAATCCTGGAATAACAGTACTGCTTGTTGGAAAAAAAAATTTTTGTAGTATTACACCCAAGGGCATGATTTAATAATAACAATAATAACTAGTGTTTATATAATTTTTTAAGGTTTGCAAAGGACTTTATAAATATTATCTCATTTGAGATAACCTTATTATCACATTTGAAAACCCAAATGAGTAGGTGCTATTATTGTTCCCATTTTGCAGATTTAAAGAAAAAAATTAGTCAGACAACAGTTAGGTGACTTGCCCAGAGTCACACAGCAAGTGTTTGAGGCTAAATTTGAACTTAAATCTTCAGCATTATCCACTGTGTCATCTAGCCACCTGACCATCTTTTTGTCTGGCTATCATCTTGAAGATAAGCAAGAGAAGAAAGCAAAGGCAGCCAGACAGTATGACATAGTGGAAAGAACATTAGATTTGGATTCAGAAGACCTAGTATATAGTATAGTGGAAAGAACATGAGATTCAGTCACAGAATTTCAGTATCTCAGAGGTGGAAGGGACCTCAGAGGCTATTGAGACCAATGTGTACTTGAGGAAGAACCCTTCTACATTACACCCAAGTGGCTTTGCTTCATCAAGACAATCAGAGAACCTGGGCTCAAATCCTTATTTGGCTCCTTACTACCTGTGTGCAAGTGATTTTCCCTCTCTAGCATTTAATTTCCTCAACTATAAAGTGAAAGATCTAGGCTAGATATTCCCTTCTAGCCCTAGATCCAATAAAGAAACAGCTTCCTCATTCCCACCCTTACCCATCAAGGCAGGAACAGGCCTCTACTCTTTTCTAAGTGAGAAAACAGTTAAGGTTACTGAAATATCTGACATCTTATCAGACCTTGCTTATAGAAAGATCTACTAAGGCAGCATTCCGCTGTGTATCTTTCCTGGGAAGATTATGAAGCCCTGTAAATGGAACTTTTTAGACTCTCCTAAAAGCACTAGTAGAATAGTGAATGTTAAGGATTGACAGGAGGCCAAGCACAGCAAGGGACGAAACAGATGTATGAGCAAAAGGCACCAAAGGAAAAAAGGTAAGCCAGAGTAAATAAAGACAAAATCCTATCGTGCTTATTGTTGTTATTTTTTTTTAATATCCCTTAGAATGCAGGAATTCATCAATGTAAAAACTCCCTCCACTAATACAAATCAGCAACTGTCTATGTACAGAGAGCTGCCTTAGGCATGGAGAGGTTACATGATTGACTTGTAACCCACATTCAAGTAGCTAATAATATGTGCCTGGGGTAGAATTTGAACTTGGGTCTTCATGATTACAAAGCTTTCCTAGAACAGAAGAATTAACTCAAAAGATGAAGAAATTAGGTATGGAAGAACTGTCACATGTAAGGGAAAGAAGCAACCCTGAATGAAACCAGGGATTTGTCAGGAATGCCAGTGTAATTGAACAAGTTACTGTATTACTAGCTTGTATTAATAGCAATAGTACAAGGAATACCAGAGCTGCTTCCTTTTCCTGGCTCTGAAATGTCAGGACTTTCAGAGGAGAAAGTGGTTGTGAACAGAGGACTGCCAAAGAGGGGAGAGGGAGATCTCCTGACCCTAATAGTCCCAAGGAGCCCAGCCCACAAGCCCACTCACTTCCTTAACCCTGACTAACATCAATTTCTCCAGGTCTCATGACCGTACTTGGGGTACACCCAGCCTTGCTTAGAAAAAAGCATCAAAGCTCCGTGCTGGCCTAGCTTGAGAATTTCTGGATGGGGAGACTGAAGCTAAAATGAGAAACAGCTAAAATGTGCATTTCTCTGCTGGATCTTGACCTCAGACTCCTAGGGGAGCAGAGAAGGGAAGTTCAAAAATACATTTTCGCCTAGGGAAGGGGCTCCAGCCCCAGAAGGGGAAACAAGTTAGACTCTAGGCAGGGGTTAGAGAAAAGAATGTATGAGGCAAGATCATGGGCACAACTTGAGGGAGAACAGCAGAGCCTAAGGAGGGAGAGAGATGAGGTTGCAGAATTTAAATAGCCCTAAAGCGGGTCTCTTTGGTTCAGATTTTCGAGAGATATTAAATGATCCAAGCTTCTGTTTCAAATGAAAAAAACGAGGTTAAGTGACATGCCCAAGGTCACACAAAGAGTAGAGTCAAGATTTGCACTCAGGTCCTGTGAATACAAATCCAGAGTTCCTGCCACTGCAACAACACAGCTCCTGAATAGAACTGGTCATTTTCCTTCTCCTCCTACCCTTTCCTTGGATCTGGAGAGAGAAGAGAAACAGAAATTTGCCAAAAACTGAAACTAGGGAAGATGCATCTTTCCTCTCAAAGGGAAAAAAGTGAAGTGGGTGAGGGGTAATAGTAAAAGCTGTTGTGGGAAAGGGTTGGTTTTTTTTTTAACCCGTTAGGCCCTAGGCTGGGAGGAGAAGTCTAGAGAGAATGAATGGTCTAGGGGAAGGCATGCACAAGTTACCCGAAACGCTTTCCTTGGGCTTCTCAGAGCCCAGCAGGTATCGCTGGTGATGCTCGTGATGCTGGTGATGGGGGTCCGGTCCCCGGGGCTGCAGGAAGGGGATGTCAGTGAGCAGCAGACAGGGGGTCCCACCAGCCGGGGGCTGCTGCGCTGCGAAGCCACAGAAGAAGCCCAACCCTAAGGGCAAGGAGCCCCCGGGAAGAGAGGTCCCCCCGACTCCAGCTCCAGCCCCAGGACCTGGCCCCAGCCCAGCCCCAGAGGGGACCTGGCATCCCGAGCCAGCCCCGGGGCCACTGGGAGGCTGCAACTCTGCCTCCAAGCCCAGCAAGTCATTGATGGCAAAGCCTTTGGATCGTAAACTGAGAGAAGCCTTCTCATGTCCTGGGCCAATGGGCACCAACGCCTTGCCCTTGGTTTTCCCATCTGAGCTCGCATCTCTGCCGGTCATGGCTTCTCCCTTCCCTCTGGAGCTTGTCTGTTTGGGGTAGCTTCTGCAGGATCCCGAATACAGATGGAAGAAAAGCGAAGTCTGTCCAGAGCTTTTTATCTGGGTCCTGGGGCCAGAGAAGCAGGGCAGTGGGTGGGGAAGGCGCTTGGCCTCCAATCAGCTCGGGGAAGGGTCCTGTCGCCTTACGGGCGTCCCGTGCTTTCAATTCCAGAAGATTAATTACTCCCAATTTCCCTACAATCTGATAATGCACCTTCCTTCCCTAGCTCAACTCCCAGCTGCTTCCCCTCAGCTCCCAGCTACTACCTCCCCTTCGGAAGTCCCATCCCCCTTTCCCAGGGTCACTTTTTCCTTACTTTCCTCCTCCTTTCCTTTAGTCGTCTCCCAGCCCAGCTGTCATCTCCTTTCTGGTCACTTCAGTCCGTCCTGACCAAGTCCGCCCCACCTCCTACAAACACTTCAGGCATAGGGGTGGGGGTGGAGTTTCAGTTAATTTTACCTCTTGGAAAGAGTAAACCTCCTTAGCTCTACAAGCAGTTTAATATCCACCCCCTCCTCTCCCTGGGACCCACACACCTTCCTGTCTCTTCTAAGCCCTCACTCTCAATCCCCTCAGGTTTAGAGGGCCTCAGTGCCAAGACTTTGGTCAGGCTATTCTGATCAGTAACTGTTAAAGTCAGATTTACGAGGCTCACTAGCTCTCTCTCCACCCCCCCCAAAAATCCCCCCAAAATATCCCTAGCTGTTTCCGCCAAGATGTTCATCTCTCTGTCTCCCCAAGGGGAAGGAGGTGTGCGTGGGTTTCTCTCAGCTTTCTCGCTCCCGAAGCGAAGCTGAGGCTTGCTGGTTTGCACAACTCTCCCCCTGTCCCCAAGGCTGAGATTGTCTTACTTCAATTATTTGGGTCCTTCGCAGTCAATCCTTCTCCAGACCCTAGAAGTTAACGAAAGGGGAAGCAGGGTACGGTGGAGTTAAAATGACGGATGGGGAGCTTGTGAAATCCCCACATCCTAGCTCCTACATCCTCAGGCTGTCTGGGGTGAAGCCCAACATCTTTCTCGTCTTGTTTCTTTTTCGAGAGGGGTGCACGCCATTAGTGCCTTTCGAAAAGCCCCATGGATAGAGGATTTTGGAGAGAGAAAAATTCGAAAACCTCAAATTTCTTTTAAAATTGCTACACGTTGTTATCTACCCACGTGCCAGTTCATAGCAAAACATGATTTTCAAATAAGCCTAATCATTCTGTCTTCCAGTATTTGCAATAGCCTAACTGGTCTTGGCAAATCTCTCCCCACTCTAATACAACCTCTGCACACAACTGCCAAAATGTTGTCCTAAAGCTTAGTTCTGACCATGTCATCACCCCTTTACTCAATGAACTTTAGTGGCTCCTTATTACCTTTTGACTGGAATAAAAACAAACTCCTATTGAGAATTTAGACCTCTTTACAACGTGTCTTCAAACCTTCCCAGTCTTAACATTCCTCTTCTCCTCTCCTCAACCATAAAGCGCTCTCGCTCTCGCTCTTTCGCGCTCTCTCTCTCTCTCTCTCTCTCTCTCTCTCTCTCTCTCTCTCTCTCTCTCTCTCTCTCTTCCCCCCTTTGCCTCCCTCCCATAGCTCTATTTTGTATCTCTTTTCCAAAGCCTAGAAGCCTGCCCTCCAAAGAACTGAACAGAATACAATGAAATGGAATTGTATCTAAGAAAATGTGGACAAGTTCATTTCTTCTGCTGACTTCTTAGCTTTCATTTCACCGACACCTTACCTACTCTCCCTCCACCCCATCCCATCTCACTAATAGGAGGCACCTAGTAGTTGCCCCCACCCTCAGCTCTGCAACCAAAGAAGAGAGGAGTGTGTTGTGTAACCTTATCCTTGCCCAAAAGAGACTCCAGTCGGATTCAGTCCATCAGATCCCAGCTCTTGCACCTGGATTGAAATTTCCTGCTTCATCTGTTTATGCAAACGATTTACAAACAGCTTACATAGACTACTTTAAAGTAGATCTCTCTTTCCGCCCACCTCCTCCCCCCCTTTTTTGGTACTTTTCTGCTAAACATGCAGATTAAACAAGGGCCTTCTGATAAAGATAATTACAAGAGAACTACGTATTAACTTTACATTATTAAAGAAAGACCCAAATCTCCCTTTGCAAGCTGTTCCTGGGATTAGAAAAACAATAACTTTCATTTGGGATAATTGTAATTTGAATTGCTTGGGTTTAGGGTTGGCTTTTGACGATTACGTTTGGCCTAAAAGGGAGGCAGGAATTTCTTTTGAGAAGCTTTACTTTGCAGTGTTCAGGTGCAGAGATGCAGTCAGATCCCTGCCATCAGCTCTTGGAGGAATGTCAGGAACCTAATTATTTGATTTTTCCCACTCAAATTTTGGGTCACTTTCGGCAGCGGATAAACTATGACCAAATTATTATTTAAAACCACGACTCTTCAGATGAGCGATGTGACAGAGCGCTTCAGTTTAAGCAGGCGGGCGTGCATGCTCCCGCGGCAGTTCTGGGTGAATGGTAAACCTTATCAGGTTTAGGAACTATCAGATATGGACTTCGAGAAATGTCCCAGAAATACTACCTGCGGAAACAGAACCCACTGCCCGGGGAACGTAGGCTGGGGTATCTCAAGACTCGTAGGTGGAGACACAAATGATTGGTTTTCCCTCCTTCAGGGCATCTAAATCATAAAAGAAAAGTCAGAGGCTGCAGATGTCCGGAGGTGTAGGTCCCTTTCCTGGGACCTGGAGTCGAGTCACTAACCAATTCGTTGGTGACTTTAAGCTAGCCACGTCCCTTCCCTGAGCTTAGGTTTCCCCAGCCCAAAATGAGGACGATGGATTAGGTGCTTTCTGTGGTCCCTTCGAGTTCTCATTGTCTATGCTTTTGTTTTACGTCGGTTATCGCAGATGCAGCTCATCCCGGCAGCACTCCCTGAGGGAAGGAGGAGGGAAGGAGGGAGACAGACTCAGAGAAAGGGACCCAGACACCGAGAGAGAATGAATGAGAATTTTGTATTCATACTATTTTTTCCTATCTTTTCCCACCCACGTCCCCCACCCCTAAAGAGGCTTCTCCCAGTGGGCGCCCTGATAGCCAGGCAGAGAAAGCAGACCACATTCACTTTTCAAGTTGCGCAGGAGTCCAGTCCAAGTGAGAGGACCGCCCGATGAGACTTTCACTGTTAAACTAAGAGCAAATCTCTCACAGAAATTGGAAGTGCTAATCCGGCCACCAACTCCCAACAAATTTCCCGTCCGGCCCGATGTTAGTGGCTAAAACCCTAATTTTTTGACATCGCCCAGAATCAGCTTAATTTTAGCAGTTTACGCGGAGGCTCAGCTGCCGCCAGGGATGATGAAGCTTTTAACTATGCATATGGTGGAATCATTTGGGAAGTTTGGGATAAAGCGTTTATAATTGCTCGTAATCAGTTTAGGGAAACATAAAAGCCGAAAACGGGGAGAAAGCCTGCTACAGGGGAATAGGAATAAGAGTTTAAATCCCCACGTATTCTAAATAGTTGCCTGGGCTACTTCCTGGCCACGTGCGCGGATTGGGAGTCCACGCTAGGCACCCGGAGCAGAGGTAGACTGAGGGTGGGGGTTAGGCGACGTTTTTATTTTTGGTCCCAGTTCCACACATACCCGTCGCCTTCCCCAGAAACTAGGATCACTCCTTCGACCAAAGCACAACACTCATCTCCACACCCCAAGAGTGCCTGTGCACTTTTTATTTGATTTTGTTTAATTTTATTTTGGAATAAATCTGTTAAGGGATATCTTGATCTATGCTCATCAGATAGGATTATCTGGGATTAAACTAATCAGTAAATGTTTCTCTGCTCATTATTTTCCAGGGAAGATTTTCAACCCCATTCTCCAACGCCAACGATTATTAATCCCCTAAAGAATATGGCATTTTAAAAATCACTTTTCGCTCTAATTTCTTAGTCCAGCCCCCCACCACCACCACCACCAGCACCACCACACCTTCTGGGCCCATCGGGGGCTAAATGTACTGCACTATCTAGGCCTCCAATCATATACAGAATCACAGTCTACTTAACCCATGGGGGAACAAAATTCTATTCATCAGTAGATGATCATCGGGCTTTCAGGGCCTGAAGACTTGCCAGTGAAGGAGTGAGTATCTACTACTTTCCAAGGCACCTCAGTCTACTTGAGGAGAGTTTTAATGGTTAAGAATTTTTCCTTCCATCAAACCGGAATTTTCCTCTCTACAAATTCTACTCACTGCTCCTGCTTCTGCCCAAGGGGCCAAATAGAACAAATCTAATGTCTTTCAAGTGACAGTGGGTCAGATAAACTTAACTATTGTCCCTCCAAATCTTTCTGTTTCTGAGGCAATGATTTTTTTTAATAAAGGTATAACTAAGGAATCCCAAAGACAGAAACTTTCATGGGCATGTGGGTGAAGATACATGTGGGTATGTGGGGGAGGGGGAAATGGATGGGGAGAAGTCAGTGGGAGGACTAGGAGAAGGAGAAGAGAAATTCTAGTACCTACCAACAAGGCCCTGAAATTTCCCAGCATTATGTTACATTGGTTACATCATTAGGTTCAATTTCCAGGCACCACCACCAGGATTGTCCAGTAGAAATTCTCTCAATTTCTTTCTAGGAATCCTAGAAGGCTGCTGAAAGAGTGACAAATCAGTATGTAGCCTTTCTCCCACACTTCTGGTTGCTGGTTACAATGGGGGTTGTGTTCACTCTTGAAAGAGTAAAGACACAAACGGCTAACATCCTGAAGAAATGTAGCTTTAGAAGGGGAGGAGGGTTGGGAACCTTAGAAATCATCTAGCACAACACTTTCCCCTTACAAAAGAGAAAACTGAAGTCAATAAAAAAGCAAAGTGACTTGCTTAGGGTCAAATACTGATTGGTACAGCTGAGATTGGAAATAAGGTATTCTAACTCCAAATTCAGCTCTATTCCCATGGACCAACTGCCTTGGGTATGGACAGGATAGCAAGAGTTTCTGCAAAGTAGTAAGCCTCAGTTTCTTCCCTCCTCAGTAAAGGGTGGTTGTTCTCACATTATATCCAGGGCATCCCAAAAGTCTTAGTGTGTTTTAAGTCATTAAAGCTTTTTTTTTAAGCTATTTGAGCTTTAATGGCTTAAAACTGTCCAA